CGACGATGCGAAGAAGAATCGCGAGAGGAAATTGCGATAGAGCAACGAGGGAATCGAGAAGCGAAACAGGAAAGATGCCGACAAATCTCGAGGCGAACGAACTAGGGTGAAACTTGCGACGAGTTTACCTCGCTTTATCCTCGCGAATTGCGAAGCCATGGAAGAGAGGTGGCCGGGAACGTTTCATTTCAATTCTATCCGAGTGTCCGGCAGCTGAGCTTCCTTTCGTTTAATTTCGAACGAAAGGAAGATCGTTGAGATAAGAAATCATTGTCGGCACGTGTCGGCGCCGCGTCGACGTACCTATTTCCCATCGCTCCGACTCAGCTGTCTTCGAACGAAAAGACGAGAGCAATATCGACGAACAATTGGTAATAAAATCTTCGTAAGCAACCGGCTACGCGCACCACCGTACCGTACGCTCGACGTCGAGCTTGTTCGCGTAATTTCCTTTCAGCTCATCTCGTCTAAATAGAAACCGGAACAAAGCTAGCGAATATTAGCGGAGATGGTTATATCGCGGATCAAGCACCTCGACGGGAAGTGGGTTTCCGAAAAAAAAGGCAAAGGCTCGAAAAGAAACTCATGACGCGGCGAGGGCTTCGCGAAAAGGAGCTATACAAACGCGAAGGAAGCGGAAAAGCCACTTCGAAAACGGCACAAGTAGCGAAAACACTTGAGGGAGAAAGAGCTCGAGCATTCCTGGCCAACAAAATAGTAAAATACGCGCGAAACCCGCGAACTCATAACAAACGCGGATGATATACCCGTTCCATCCAGCTACGCTGACTAATTTATTGCGACGCATCCGTCGGTTTTTTTCCTCCGTCTCGAGGAACGGGCGCAACTCATCTCGAACAATCAGTTTACTCGTCTATTCCCGTTGGTCCGGATTCGTAGCGAATTCGAAAGTATGCGAGCAACTCTCGTTCGAGGCATCTAGAGTATTTTCACGCATACGCTCACGCCGCCACGTAACATCGTTTCCAGTATAATAAAATTCAATTTGCGTTCTCTCGTTACGAGACTCGGACACGTTGCCGAGTTGCCCGACCATGCATCTCTTAAACTCCCGGGGAAAAAGTCCGAAACACGTGGCTAACTTTGCACGTACCGTTCTGGTCAGCGACGTTCTCATTCCCCGACTCTCGCTACACTACACGTACGCTCGGACTGCGGACGTATGCACGCCGAAGCGATCAAAATTTGTTAAATTCCAAACGTTTCGCGGTTGCTCGCGCGTCGACGACAGGACGCGGCGACGTCCGGCTCGAAACGAATAAACTCGACACTCGGCACGACCGGAATGAAATTCTATCGTCCCTGTCGTCGCCCGTTCTACTATGCCAAAAATGTTCAATTTTTATCATCGATACGATGTGCCGTTTTCCGGTATTCTACGTGGGAAATAGAACGTGGAAGACAGGCAAGAGAGAGGTGGCGTTTTAAGGGTAAATCGGCTTTAAACGTCGCCAACGTTTAAGGACGCGAGGTACGAACTATGAACGGTACAGAAAGAGGTGGCCCTCGTTTTCTATGAGCGAACGAGAGCAAGTGTATCGACACGCGGCTGTCCCGTGTTCGCAGATGACGATGCGGGGAGCGAAGAGAGGAGAGAAGAAAATACCGTCGACGGAGAACCACCAACGCCAACTTCCCCATTAACCCTCTTTGTCGAGACCGTTGTCGTACACTACACATTGTGCATTGTACGCTGTACACTATTTAGTATTTACCCTTGTTACCTCTTTTCGCGTTTCTATCGCGTTGCGCCGGGACGTCTATCAATTCGCTAATACGGCCAGGAAAAAATATACGGGAGGGATCGGTGGTTTCTCTTCCAGTCGGGAAATAAATTCTATTTACGACCGTCATATATCTTGATGGAGAAATAATCGTCTACTTCGTTCTCTGAAATCCGCTCGGTCGCCGTATCCGTACGATGTAGACGTGTTCGCAGTTAGAAAACACAGACTGATAACCAGCGTCGGACAATCGCTTAATCTGAGTAAACGAGTGTCCTAATAGCGGACTGACCATGTGAACACGTGAGAAGCTACGCACCTTTTTAGCGAATGCGTACATACGTCACAGATGATCTCGACGACGGTCTGCGATTAATGTACAAAACTGATCGGCTGAAAACGAGAGATAAACAGTAGGAACGTACGAAGTTCGAAACTAGAAGCTGTTCGATTCGTATCCGTGTGCATCGTGTGCAGGAAACACGATGTCGGGACTAGTTAAATATGCGAGACGTCCATACCGGTTCGGCGGCTCGTGAAACGCGAGGAAACGCGAAAATTGGAAAGCGTTCGACTGTCGACTCGACGCGACGCGCGACTTCGCGGGGGACGACGATGATTTACAAATAAATACCTTTGGGCAAACTGTTTGCCCGCGGCTTCCGTTCAACCGCAATGACAGCTGACATTACGTTTCGTATCGCATATCCGCCGTCCTCCTTTTGTAGAAGACGTACGGATCCAATGCATCGAAATAACGATATGACGCGACCCACGCGACTCTCATGAATTTCTTTTTGAAAGGGAATTCGATTATCTCGCGTATACACGCGGATCATATCTCAGTGCTCGGCGCGTTAATTAACGACGGGCGAGAGCGGTTCAAGCGTTGGAGAGAGGCTGTCTTTAAGCGAAGCGTAGGATATTGGGGCAAATCGTTACCCGTAAGTTTTTCGAAATCGAAGAAACGGAACGGCGATAAGAAGAAAAGAAGAGCGACCGGGACAGGGAGGAAAGGAGAGGAAGAGAAAAGGCCAAGTGGCGTCGATACGGCGACCTGAATTCCCACGAGAAAAGAGGGGAAATCAAAAAAGCAAAGAGTCGTTGCAAATCAGGGAAGCCGAATGCTCGTACCCGCCGTCGCCACCGCGCCGTGAACCCGCAGAACTCTCCCCATTGTTCACGCTCGAACAATGCTGTCTTTGTCGCGATGTGATTAAGCTCTGAATAAATTTTCTATTACGTTGTTCTACACCAGGCTTTCCTCAATTTTCAAATGCCCGTCCCTCTTTCCTGCTGCCTGGCCACGCTTTCCATTCTCTCTTCCCCATCGTTTTCCCTCGCGTCTCCCACAGACTAAAAATCATGGCCCAACGCTAAAAAGCTGCGGTGCGCGACTCGATTTTGTTTCAACAGAGAACAGCGCGTATACGTAATACATAATGTATACGCCACATCGAGATACCTTTGCATCGTCGTAAGTAAACATACCGCGAAGAATTCTGGAATCGAGGACCCACGTTTCGCGTACTCGCGTATGCCGTTTCGTCGATAATCTACGTCGTCTATATCCTGCAAGCTGTGCTTCGCAATTTCATCCTTCCGCTGTCTTTTGTGCCACGGTTTTCCCGGCGAATTTGCAGCGCCGACTACGCTCACTTTGTAGAGTATAGCAGTACGCGATGCCTTTGATTGATACAATGTTACGTATAACGTTATAACCTTTGCTGCAATGCCCCGTTCGTCTCGAGTTATGTACATATACATAAAACTGTCGAGGCGCGAATACTTCGTGTCTGCCTACCTACCCACTTACCCACCTACCCTGCTACCACGCGAATACGAAAACACGCTCTTACGGTCGAATCAAATTAAGTATCGAACGGCAACTTTATATTCTCCGATTCCTGTTTCAAAAAGTTTCTACGTTTTTACTTTGCGGCGGATATCGAGAAGCATTCTCGGAATGCTCGGCGAACCAATCGATTCGCTTTGCTCTCCCGCACTTGATTATTTATTTAATTAATTATCGGATTACACGAATTCGTTTTTACTGTGCTCGCGTATTCGTCTCGCAGCCACCGTGCAGTTTTATATCTTCTGTTCCATTTTGTCCCCCGTTCTACTTGTTGTGCGGTGCGGTTCAACAAAACCATCCCGCGATACATACAGCAAAGACATACTTAACGACCGTATCCACGCTTCGCGTTCTGAATAATACAATTCGTGCTTTACACTCGCGGCTGAGGTAGCGCTACGCTACGTACTTACGTACTTTTCCTTTTCCAAGGGGGCCATTACAAACGTAAATGAAACACATCGAGCGCTACTGAATTCTATGTACATACATATGTAAAACCTTGAATCGAGGTTAGAGTCGAGGTCGAGATCGGTCGATTAACGACACCCCCTTACCATGCCGCCGTACGCTCAGGATTTTTCAGTCACCTACGTCTGCGTCCGTGTACTATACATTAAACCGAATAATCGAACCTACTTCCTTTTCATCCCTCTTACGGTCTAACGCGCAACAGCCTTTTCGTCGAGTGCGTAAATACGGATCGGGGAAAGATCGATAGACCGATACGAAGTGATACGAACCGATTGCGTTGAAAGACAAGTCAGAGACGATCGGTATTTACACGGTTTGGTTCGTCCCGTGTAAAAAGATACGACGAGTCAATGTATCAACAAATTCGGACATACAATTGAATGCGTTTCATTCTCACGAAATGAGATAAGTAAACCATGTTACGATTACTCTTTACTATTTCAATTGCTATGTATATATATAGAAACTGAGATAAAAATAAATGATGCAAATTTGTATAAACGGGACGCGCATTTGAATTCTAAATAAAGGTGCGTTTACCTCGGAGAGACGAGAGTTGTGTTAAATATATCGAATAGATTCCGCGTCTTGCCACGAACTTGCGAACTTTAGGAATACGCGTGCAAGAAACGGCGATCTACCTGGGCACGTATATATACGTACGTACACACGTAAGTACGATAAGTACCTGCGTACACGCGCGTGCGTTCGCGTGCGCTTGTTACACGTTTATTTAACGATATACGAGTAAAAATATATGCACGGGGATGAATGTTCGGAGGAATAAATCCCGCACGCCCACCCATGCCCACGTAGGGTAGAAAAATACGCGAGCATGTTTGCGCGCACGGTGTAACGACGTAAAAACACAAAGGGAAAGGGAAACGATAAAAGGGATAACGAAGAAAGAGAGATACACTCACCCGACAACGCGTAATCCTCTGTTCGCTCTGTCCTCCGGAGGCATTTATCTGCATTATCTTCCCGGCGGACTTCTCGCAGTGAGAGCGTCCAATGATCTGGTTACCACCCCCATCGCGAACCAGCTACCGATCTTCGTGATACCATCCACCGAGAAAACACTGTGTAACACTTTCCTCCCGTTTATCCCCTGCCTTCTTCCACCTCCTGCCTTCCTCGCTCTCTTCTCGCTCGCCGCGCCGTTCGTCTTCGCTGCTCTTCGACCTCTTCCTCGTTTCTTTCAGTTGATTTACCGTTCGATCGCAGCGAAAGAAGGGCGCCAGGCAACGTTGTTATTTCGATCCCCGGAAGATGAGGACGTCCGGAGGAACCCCCGTACGGGGATGATCCGTTCTCGAACGCGAACGCGATCGAGGTTGCGAAATAAACCGACCGGTCAGCCAAGACGGTCGATAGGTAGTAACTTCGTAGGGAAAGTCGTCGATCGGCTGCACGTTGACGGCGAACGGTCGTGGCGAGAAGAGAAAAGAAGAGAAGAGAAGGGTAGAACGCGAGGTTCGGGCGGACAAAGGGTCGCGTAACCGGGCAGGCGATAAAAACCTCGTCGTTCCCCGGCGCAGCACGGCGGCGGTCCGGCGGTCGAGGATCGAACGCGAAACCAGAAACACGATTTACGCGACCAGTCAGTCACGTTTCCCGAATGTAGCGCGAATGAAACGTCCGTGTTACGCGGCAGCGCGCTCACGCGGTCATCCGGTAAACTGAGAGCCCACCCCTGAAAGACCCCCGAACGAACGGCCAGCTTCCTAGCCTCCTCCCCGTGCGACTGCGCGATCCTCCTCTTCCTTCTTCCGTTTTCCTCTTTCCCTCTTTCTTTCCTTGTCACCCTCTGCGCGCAGCGCGATCTCCGCGTTCCACTTCTCCTACCCTACACCTACTACCTACCACCGCGGCACCGGCGCGGCGCAGCGACCCTAGCGATGGCCCTTCGATATCTTCCACGTTATAAGTTTTCGAGCTTACCCAAAGGATCTGGCTTCCCTCTCCTTTCGATCCACCCTTCGAGTCTTTCTTAAAGCGATACAACGTTTCACTTGAGCCGTCTTTTGACCCGATCCAGCAGTAGCTACTACTAGATTCTATTGCCTCGACCACCCACATGGGATGATCCCGGGAAGACCGGTAGAGTAGCGTAGAAACGTTCGGACGCGTTTCGAAGCCGCCGCTACTTGCGTTTCGCGAATTGGCTGGCTATGTAGACCTAGCCAGCTCTCTTCTCTCACCCTCCGACGAGCTCGCCGCTCCTACGCCCCGAAAAACGCCTCGCCAGCTGCTATACTGAAAGGAAACTCGTGCCGTGACCCCGCGTTCCTCCGCTAGCAAACGCCCTTCCGCTTTGCTCCTCTTCCAGATTCCCCTTCGCCAATTCGGTGACGCCCGCTGTTCCAGCGAAAAAAGATTCTGCTTTCCATTAAAGTATTTTCTGAAATGTCGACCACGAGCATCGGTTAATCAAATCCGTCGACCCGATTTTCCGCGATTGCACGCGAATATAAAGTACGCTCCCACGAGAGCGCGGTCGCTTTATCGTTAATAGCGATCGTACTGGGACGAAAATTTTAATCGACGTTAATGAGATCACTGCATTATACGCGTACGCAGGTGTAGCGGAAATCCAGGGCTGTATTTTCATTTCTATACAATCGCATAAGAGCCAAGTGTCTTACTCGATTTACGAATATCGCTGCTGCTGCTGCTTCGTTATCGTTGTACTTTTAAAAGACGTCCGACTGTGATTTTCACCCACGCGACAGATAGAGCCACTGACAAGGCTCGACACAACGAACAACGTACCGTTTTTACCTTCTTTATCCTTGCACACGTGTATGCACATGTATTTATGTTGCAAAAGATTTTATCGTATCTATAGATGTATAAGTCTCGTACGATCCTACGATCCACGATTCAATACCTTCGATTCTGTCTGTCGCACTCTTTTCTTTAGAGCGTTAAGAAGATTATCAAATTATTAAGTATCAACGGCGTGAAATAAGGCACGAGAGGAAGGGTGGATTCTATAGAGACTAACTTCGCGTCGATACTATATAATTATTATGCATTCGTGCATTCCACCTACTATTCACGATTTCATACGTACACGCTTTGTATTCACCTGTCGGGCAAAATCTTACGGAATGAATTACCGTAAGCTAGCAATAAAAAATCGTAATTTCATACCTAAAAGAGAAATAATATCGTTCGTCTAGAAACTTGACTTTTCGCTCCATACTGATTAGTTCTAAATGAAGATGGCGTGTCTGGAATAAAGACATCTGTTCTTTCACTGACTCGCGGAAAATGATTTCTACGCTTGGAACTGTAATGGCCAGGGCTAAAACGCGATCATGTGTCATTATTTATGTACTTGTTAAAGTCGTTTGTTCTTCGCATTTTGAATACGACAGTAAGAATAACGCGAAACATTCTTGAAAATTGCCCGCTGTCGCTTCGCCGCAGTCCGATTCCATCCGATGCTGTCCGATTCTGCTCACGCTGACTGCGCGAATGCAATTTGCGACTCTCCCTGACCCTGCGCCAATCCCCCTCTTATAAGAGATACATCGCTATCCCGTCTATCCCGTGATAGCGCGGGGCAATGAAAAGGGCATCAGCTGAGCAGCGCAGTTCAGTTTCCAGTCAGTCTGCAGCAGGCCAATAGCGGATTGATGCTGCAAACAGCTGTTTGTATGGCCTCGTATTTCGGCGTCCCTACTGCTGTACATGTACCTATAAATGCATATGTGCAGAATTGATTCGTAACGATATACAATCTACACACGCATGCATACGTTTAATCATCTAATTGAATCTATTCCGTAAAATATTTAGGAAGATGACAGTAGTCTTTCGAGGTCTACTGTACTTCATCAACTTATTTGCTTTTTTCTATTCGCAATATATTTTATAACTCTCGAAGTATAAAAACGGTACGAAAATACTCCTGCTGTGCCGAAGAAGTTGCTGATTCATTTCAATTACATCGACAAATATTTTGCAATTGCATTCTTGCGTAACATAATCGCGCCCTACTTTTGCACGTTTACCTGTGTTTAATGTCAGGCATTTCGAACTTGACACGATTCTGGTCTTCAACTCACGACTGGTAGCTAATAATTTTTTAAGAATGCGATTCTTGAAGGGGCTTTGTTCGAGACCGATGCGATTATCATTCATCTCGTACGCACACCGTGCATGCACGGATATTCGGCTTGCGTCACAACGCCTTGACCGTAGGAGCGACTACGAAGAATTGCAGGTGTCTCTCGTGGGGCCACTGTAGTCGCATTTCGTTTCGATATAACGAATTAAACAGAGTCGCGAGAGTCGAAGATGGGAGGTCTCCTTCTCCCAACGCACGACGAGATTCATGTTAGACTCGAAACAAGTTCTCAACCGTCGCGTCGTCTCCTCGGACCAAGTTTCTTCTCGAACATCCTGGCAAACGTCTCATTGTTAGATCGTGACAAGTGCTTGAGCGTGACAAGCGTTCCTTATCGGATTCGTACTTGCCGAGTGTGCCGCGTCGTCATTCCGTCCATTATCCGCTGTTAAAATCGTCTAAAAATGTTCAGGGCGTTAGCCGCGATCCTGTTCCTGTCCCAAGCGCAATGCATCTTCCCACCCGCCCTTCTCGAGACTGTTTATCAATTGTTCGCCGGAATCCCGAATGCTTTCGATGACTCGGTCCCAGAGGAAACATACGTCTTGAAGGAGTACGATTTCATCGTGATCGGGGCTGGCTCGGCCGGATCCGTGTTGGCGAATCGTTTAACAGAGAATCCCGATTGGAGCGTGTTACTCCTGGAAGAGGGTAAGGACGAGATTTTCCTCACGGATATTCCGCTGCTCGCTCCCGCTCTACACATCACGGACTATGTTCGTTTGCACAAAAGCGAGCCGAGACCTCGGAACGCCGACGGCACCGGTGGTTACTGCTTGTCGATGAACGACGGTCGCTGCAATTTGCCGGGGGGTAGGGCCGTCGGGGGCTCCTCGGTGGTAAATTTCATGATATATTCCAGAGGATCGCCTCGCGATTACGATGCCTGGGAAGCGCAAGGTAATCCGGGATGGAGTTACCAAGACGTATTACCGTACTTCCTGAAATCCGAAAATTGCAAACTGCCGGATGGAGATATCAGGTAAGTAAATAGATCGTTTACGCGCGGTTGCACGCCACTAGTTCATAATATACCCATTTTGTTATATTCGTATAAACGAAAGGAAATCTCTGTTTAACCAGAGAGTAAGTGTCGTCGCTCGTTCGTAGATAGGTACTAACTGAAACTAATGAGCAAGTGCGAATTCGAAAGTACGTACATATGTACGTACATATAAAACTGTGTGCAGAAATTGCGAAGCCACTTCGAACTTATAGATAGTTATGCATCATCCATCAAAGCGTGCAATACCACTCTGTTGGGTTGAAACAGCTCAAGATTCGTTTAATGACGAAATTGTTTTGATGGTTAAATGTGGCGCCTTTAATTCGACGCTTTCCTCTCGATCACGGTTTTACATATTTTCTATCGTTTCTCGTTAGATTCCATAGTCGCGAAGGCTATCTCGATGTCACGACGTCTCCTTACGTATCCCCTCTGCGAGAACGTTTTCTCCGAGCTGGCGAAGAACTGGGCTATGACGTAATCGATTATAATACTGACAAGATCATCGGATTCTCGACGGCGCAGGTTCACTTACGAAACGGCCACAGGGTCAGTGCCAATAAGGCCTTTCTAAGACCGATTCGTGACGTAAGGGCCAATCTATGTCTGTCGAAATTATCCAAAGTAACAAGGATCGCGATCGACGCCAAAACGAAAACCGCCGTCGGCGTCGAGTTCGTTAAGAACGGCAAGAAGTTGTACGCCTCTGCCAAAAAGGAGATAATACTTTCAGCAGGTGATTTAAAGGATGATAGAAAATTCCATTTCGACGGACCCTCCTGGCACCGACACGGCACATTGGAAATTGCTTCTCGGCTCACTCATTTTTCATTCGCATTCCGTCTAGGTACCCTGAATTCACCGCAACTGTTGATGCTGTCTGGAATAGGACCGAAGGATCACCTCGAATCTTTGAACATCCAAGCGATCGAAGATCTTCCGGTAGGATACAATCTTCAGGATCACGTCAGCATGTCGGCGTTGACTTTTCTCGTGAACGAGAGCGTGACCTTGGTCGAACCGCGGATTGCTTCGAATTTGGCTAACAGCTTCAACTATTTCGTGAAAGGAACCGGTCCGCTGACGGTGCCCGGCGCGGCCGAAGCTCTGGCGTTCATCGATACAAAGCAGGATCGAACAAATACATTTATAAACGAAATACCATTTAAAGAGAAACGAGGTAAATCGAACTTCGTCAACGTTGTTCTCTCCGGAATGTGTCATCGTCATCGAGAGGCACCTTTCGTCTTTCAGATCCGAACGTAACTTCGATCAGCGTGAAATCACACCTACGTTCGATCGGATCAAACTTCGTCGTCACCGAACGTCCCGACATCGAACTGGTTTTAGGCATAAGCGCTTTGACCGGAGATATATCAGGCAGCTATCGCGGACTCCTCGGTCTGACCGACGAATTTTACAAACGAGTTTTCACAGGCTACGAGGGTCTCGATGCTTTCTCCATCGTGCCGGTGCTTCTGCACCCGAAGAGCAGGGGACGGGTTACCTTGAGGTCTTCCGACCCGTTTGATAGGCCTATTTTCCACATAAATTACTACGATCGCGACGACGATCTCTGGACTATGGTCCGGGGCATTAAGAAGGTCCGCGCAACATTTATCTTACGAGACGTCGCGTTGGCTCACAACAACCGTCCCTCGAGATACATACTTACATACAGAACGTAGAACATCTACATATAAGCAGCCCGAAGGGATTGCGAGCCGACGATCCGTCGCACTGTTCGAGCTTCGTCGAATCGTTTACGTTTACACTTTATTCGTATCATTTATTCTGCAGGCTATCGAGGTGGCATCGACGAAGTCTTTCAAACGTTACAACGCGACGTTGTTGCCGGTCGCGTTTCCGGGATGCGAACACGCCTCGTTCGGTACCGATCCGTACTGGGCTTGCGTCGCTCGCCACGTAACCACGACCCTGGGTCACTTTGCTGGTACGTGCAAGATGGCCCCGAGAGGGAACTCCGGCGGTGTGGTGGACCACAGGTTACGAGTGCACGGGATCAACGGTCTCCGAGTCGTGGACGCCAGTATAATCCCAAGCTTAGTAGCGGGACACACAAACGCGCCCGCTTATATGATTGCCGAAAAAGCTGCGGATATGATTAAACAAGACTGGAAACCATACGGAGATGCGTTTCATTTAAACACCCCTTTCCTTCCGCATTGTAAAATATATGTTTTATTTATTTACTTCTCTACACGAATATTTCTTTTTTACTAAAAGATATATATGTATAGATGCTCGTGCTGCGCCTCGATCGAAAAGCATCGTTTTATCTATTTACTTTATTGACGCGTCTTTGGTACCGATCGATTTCTTTCTCTATCTACAGAAATGTATCCTATTTACAATGAAACGAGAACGATGGCCAAATAAATAGATACCTATTGCATATTCATACCATTATCGTGTAAGGGAACGCGATCGCGATTCCTGACAATTTATAATTCAAAGTAACAGGAAAGCGAGAAAGAATGCCAGTGATAAAAGTCCAATTTGCCGCGAAGACGTTGTCGTCGCCGCGCCTGCAAATAAATTCAATTTTTACGCCCTTCTCGCGTTGCGAAATGAAAATGGAAAGTTTCGTTTTACGAAAGCGAAGCTACGCTTACCGTTGTCGCTGTATCCGATGCAATCGCGCAACTCCTCCGACAGGATGTAGTCGTTGGCGCAAACGCACATACCTCGAAGAAAACGGAGAATAAATATTGGCATAAACGAAGATGAACGATGCGCCGCATACCGCAACGCGTACTTACCATCGATGCAATTCACGTTCGGGACCTCAGTGAATTCGGAGTCCCTATGCCTCGGCGTTACGCATTCCCTGTGTTCCTTACATGCAGCGAACAGCTCTGGAACGAAACGAAACGGAACGAAACGCGATTTTGTCCATCGTTGTTCGCGAGCCTGCTACTCACCGACGCTTCTCACACAGACGGGACCTCGCCGATGATAGTTCCCGACGCAGGTACACGTGCCATTGGGTCCGCACTCGGCGTGCTTGAGGAATAGCAGGCACTGAGAGTGCTCCTCGCACGGTTCTCCAACGGAATTGGCAGCTTTCAGACATCGTTTACCGTCGCGCGACGGTATATGATCCACTTTACACGAACACGTGACCATGCATCGAGAGTTCTCCGTGACGCACTCGTAATCGTTCATGCACTCCTCGCCCAACTCTGCGATCAAGCGAATACGATCCTCGACTCAGATTCCAAATTGCAAAAAAAAGGGTTGTACTCGTAAAACTGATTCGACGGATTCTCGACACTCGAAGCTGAACTTACCCGTGTTCGGTACGCATCCATCGTTGCGCGGGTTCGGGTGATAGTTCAAAGTGCACGCGCAAAATCCTGTCACGCAGTAACTGTACTTGATGTAGCAGTTCCGATTCGTTTGACAAACCTGTCCCAGACCTGTGCGGTACGTACGGGTTAACGAATAACGAATCGTTCGAATTCCAGAGGACGAAACTAACGATGAGTCAAGCGTAAGTTCTTACCCACGGACTCGTAACACCGTCCCTCGACGTAGTGAGAGCCATCGGAGCACTGACAGATGTTTTGCTTGCACTCGGAATGAGTGGCGAAGGTCACGCGACACTGAACGTCCGCCACGCAGGGATCCCCGATAGCGCTCGCCACTGCGAACAGTTCCAAGCTGCAGCAGTCGCGTTTCGAATCACGAAACTAAGTCCCGCGATTTGGCAAATTCAAGTTACCCGGCTAACACTCACGTGGGAAGAAGCGGGTAATATTATACATTTGGGCACGGTTCGTTTCGGTCTGAGCGGCCGCGGAAAGCGCGATGAGCGGACACGCTCTAAGAAGCGAGAGACCGTGAGAAAGGGACGACTACTTGGAAACGCGAGCGAACGAAGATGTTCACGGACGTCGCGTTTCCGAGGTCGCCGACCACCTCGAATGAGATCTTTGGATCGATCTCCCCGAGCTCGCAAGTAAAATTTAAATCGACTCGAGCAAATTTTCATTTACCTTTGAGACACTCGACGGAAGTGCCGTTCTTGTGAACGATGTACCCGTCTTTGCATAGGCAGGCTTCTTGATTCCAACAATAAGCATTGTTCATACACTCGTCGTCGTACCGACACTTGGCCAACGTTTCTGAAAAAAGTCACGTCACAGTCGCATTTATTTTTTTTATCGTCGACCACCCTTGCCTCTATTTCCGTGTTGAAGTGCGCGAATAAAACGCGTGTGCATGCATTCTATTCTAGATACCCAAGTACGCAGTCTAAAAGCAAGGGTGAAACCGTTGGTTGGATCGTAGCGCGGGAAAAATCGATCGAGTCTTCGCGGAGAGGAGTAAAAGCCGCGGGTCCGACGACGCGAAGGCCAAAGCTTAGTCTGGGGGGTACATACGAGGTGGTAACGTTCTGTAGTTGCATCGATGATCGTCGACGTACGAAATGGACACGCAGACGGTGACAGGCACGAGAACGAGTAGTCTCGACAACCCAGGCACCGTCCGTCTCAGCGTCATCCTCGTACCGCCTCTCGTCCTCGTCGTCGTCGTCTTCTCATCGGCTCGGATCGAGCGCTCCACATTCCCCTCTAGCCGTGGGATCTTTCGTCGTTGCTCTCTTTCAACCAGCCTAGTTCGTACGGCTCGTTTTCACCTTCTTTCATTCCGTCTTCCTCGCGTCTCGCGTTCTCACCGTGACGCGTCGCGTCGCCGTTGTTACGCAACTTTATTGCGTGTGTAGACACCGCGAGCGAAGCCCCACTTTGTTTGCCGCGCCTCGCGTCGAATTTCACGACGACACCGCTTTGCCGCTCCTAAACTCCGATTTGTCCCGATTCCGGTCACCGTTTAAACTCCGACCGATACGTCTCTCGTCTCTTCGTCCGTGACCGAAAACTATCCGTTGCCATTGTTACTGGAATCGAGTCGTCACGGTGGTTTATCGATCCGAAGAGAAAACTGGGTTAGCGAAAACTGTCGGCCGAACGGCATAGATCGCCGCTTTTAAACCTCGATTAACACCGATTAACGAACGATTAGTTTATTCCCGGGACAGTTGCGCGCGATCGCGTTTAACGATCGATCCGATCCGACGGTGAGTAGTTCCGGGCGGCGCGTTCCATCGCAGCGACACGTAACAGGTTGCGTTACATCATCGACTGCCCAACCGCGAACGATGAAATTAGCTTTAATTAGGTATCGCGAAAAGAGAGGTGGCCGATTAGCGCGAGCACCGGCAACGCGACGAACGACGTTCCTCCGACGACTGAAATAGGGATCGGACACCGCTGCTACGAAAACGGGATCTCCCTTGTTCTTTAATTATGTGCGGTTCCAAGCCGACGTTCGCTTAACTGTGAGAACCAGCAGCGTAGATCCGGCCTGCCTCAGCGTTTCCCTCCACGAAGTCCCTTCGCGGAGAAAGAGAGGATCGCTCGGTCGTGAAGGGAACGAGCCAGCTCGGGACTCCGGGAGCTCGACTTAAAAATTTCTATGCTGGCCTTCCGCGCGCGCGATCTTCTTTCCGATGACGACGAACCACCGGCAGATTCTTTCCTTCGCGCTTCGTTTCGAGCAGCGACGAGCTAATTAACAGTGATCGTGATTCATCGTCGCTCTTATCGTACTCGCCCGTGCATCGTACGAACGTCGTACGAGCTCGTTCGGATACACGTACGCGGATCGAAAAAGGTGTCGCGAAAAATATCTTTCCACCTTTGCCGGGATCGGGATTCGATTTGCAAATCGAGTCGATGGTAATTTACAAATTACGTTGTGGAAATTCCGCGCGCGCGTTGTCATGGTCGTTAATCGTTCTAGCAACACGTAATTAGATCGAACGTCTTAGTTGATACTCACGTCTGAGTTGCAGATGTTCGTGCTTTCCATGCGCGGTTACGACTGTACTCCGCGCGACGAACCAGAAGCCGATCGTGAACAGCGCAAGACCTCCCATCGGGAGACGATTCGCAGAGCCCGCCATCTTCCTCGTTTACCGCGACCTTTTCGATTCCGCTACCTTTTCGTTCTTTCCGTATTTCGAACAGGTGTTCGCGTCACCGAAAAGTTCGACAGAATCCGTGTGCTGCCGCGCTGCGTTCCGCCGACTCTCGGCTCGACGAAGATCGTCGCGTCTTCAGGTTCCACAGCTCTCTACGCAGGCTTATCTAATCTCAGACCGTGACGATAGATTCGTAATGCAGCGTACGAACGTGGCCGGGCGATCCATTCCGCGATGACTTGGACGACTTATCTGCCCATCGCCTATCGGCCCTTCGGTCTGTGGGTCTGTCGATAGATACGATGAGCTCGTATCACCGGCACTGTTTCGATTCTCAATTGCTACGCGAAAACGTATAAACGCAGCCGATTATCGTAACTCTCTTCGGTCGTATGAACAGCTCGCTTCGACTTTCGTTATCTCTCGACATTTACTCGCCTATTCATGGGACCGGAGAAGGCCACGCATCAAATCTTCCGTTTAGGGTGATCGTCGTTAAGGAATTTTTCATTGGGTACGGGTCATTCACATCGTTCACAGCTGCGTTATCAAAGAGTACTTTATTTAAAGAAACAATAATGACAACGACGTGCACATAAAGTAGTTTTCGTGATCGCACGATATCGAGAATGAAAAGTAAAAAATTAGGAAATATGTATCTAAGGTAACTCTGTTTCGTCGAAAGAAAATTGTAGATTTGTATAAAAATTTGAACAGACTTCAACGTTCGATTCGTGAATAGCGATTAAGTACCTACTTAAAAAAAGGGAGAAAATAGATGGTTTATTCTGTAGGAAATAAGGTAAAAAAAATCTTTCGAGATTGTGAACGGACTCAACGATTGGCACTTGGCTGAGCCTTGGTTTCTACTCCTATTTTATTACACAAACCTGTTTGTACGTTTAATGGCAAATCCGTTGATTCCTTTGGCACTCGAAACGTAAGTAGAAAAATACTGATTTGTATGTGAATATATCTATCGTTCATCTTTCGGTCATGTCGCGTTACAGGCCTCGTTTTCTTGCGTCTAGAAAGGAGGTAAATCTGGTAACCTCGCGCACCGCTGCGCACGCGAAAGTGTCCCGTGGTGAGTCACCGTAGAATCATCGTTGGTAGCCCGGCCCGGCCGCGTTAATCGCATACGCGTGAATGTCGGAGGATGATTTCCAGTTTAAACGGTTCGGTGCTCTTCTTTCTCGTTTCTTCTCGCGCTGAATCTCGCGTTCCGTTTACGCGACGCCTACGAAACGGCCAAAGGCCCAAAGCCCCTGACTTCTTCGCGATACGAATGCGTTTCCTGGATCGTTGCGACCGAGTTCTATAAGATCCGTACGAAGGATACCAGGAAGACGAGCGTGGTAAGAACGGGTGCGAAGAAACGAGATCCTGTAACAGGAAAAGAGTAGTAAACGTTGCCTGGAACGACGAATTCCAGTCTTGCTTACCCGCGTTCACGCATTTATCCTGTTCGATCCTGTAACCTTCCGCACACACGCACGCGTTATACACGCATTCCAACGGTTTCCGCCAGGAGTCTTCCTCTTGTTCTTGATAACACTCGTACGTATTCCCGCAGTTTTCGCCGAGCTCTGCGAAACGTACGTACTTACGACCATTACGGATGAGAAGCGAGTAAGAGGAGCGAACGAAATACTTACTCCTGTCAGCGAAACATCGCCTAAACTCAAGCTCGAAGTGATACGCTTCTCGACACCGACACGAACCGTTCAAACACCGCGTGTTCTCCAAGGTTTTGACGCATTGCGCATCCTCCACGCAGTTGGCGAGGATTTCCCGCGCTACCGGCAAACATTCCGTCCGATCCTTACTGATCGTGGTCGCCTTCGGACAAGCGCAAATACCGTCCGTACAGTTGGCCCCATCAGCGTGAGCGCATTCTTCGTATTGAGTGCACGGTTCTCCGATGTCTATAAAAACGGATCGTTACTCTCAATGATATCATTCGATCTGACCGACTGGCGATCGATTCGATTCGTGGAAAAGAGGCTTTGAAAGTACCGATCGTCTTATAGCAAACATTTTTCACGCTGTGGTATCCTAGTATGCAGCTGCATTGTCCATCTCTGCAGGTGGTGTTCGATAGGAACAGACACTGCGTATCCTCCGTGCACGGGAAATCGACTTGTGGAGCTTCTAAATAACCGAGGAACAGAATAATGTCGTATTTCGGACGAACGAAAAAACGGCAAGCGCGATAAAATACTTGTTTACGAATACGAAGAACGATCGCATACTTTCGAGACACTTTTTCTTGTCGATACTAGACAAGACGTAATTCTTGTGACACTCGCACTTAAGGGTCGTCGTGTTGCAAACCCAGTTTTTCAGCTTGCAATCCTGGTCGAGCTTGCAACTCTGATAGAACGGCGCCGTTCCTGCAACGGAACGCGAGTTCCACGTCTGTACTTATCTGTTATTTAGTAAATGTTGAACGCTGTTCAGAGAGAATACATGCGGACGCTTACCGGACGCTTTATGATTTTCGCGCATCACGGATATACCAGAACAGTTTTTTATGTTTCCATCGTAGTTGCACAAGCAGTATCCGTTTTCGCACACCGCTGGTTTCAACGCGTTGTTTGTATAGTTCGCACAAAATTCATCGTTGTTGCAAGGAATCGGTGGATCTGTAACGAAGATTCCGTCGCGTTCATTTTCTATCGAACTAACCGTTGCCGGTTCTTCGCTTATCGTTCCTCGTTCATACACCTATTACCTATTTGATGACACGAAGAAAGGTCGCGATTTGTTTTCAAATAGCAGAGCCCGTTAATATTTGTACGAAGGTATGTCCATACGCGAGCAAGAATAGAAGAGGCGAAAGAGAAACTTTACCCAAAGTTTCTCATCGCTCAGCGGAAAAGTTAATAATTCGCACTAGCGCATTATTCGCATTATTGTTTCAGGAATGTTGATCGATATCAAACGATGTACTCGACGAACACGGAAAGGATAGAAAAACCTTCGAACAACGTGCACGGTATGGAAGAATCGTGATTGCAGCGAACGCGTAATCGCGTTAGCGTATCCCGTAGCCGTAACGAATCGGAGCGAATTAATTGTTCAGCGAGCTGCTCAAGCGTTCCCACAATTGAATCGAGTAAAGGCGCACCATTTGATACGAATTTCGAGTTCTATGGAATTACTTATGTATTTCGTAAGAAATTGGCTCGACGTCTCGAAGCTTACCAATTTCCTCGGCGACGATACTGCAGAACGTAAGAACGATCAACAGGAAACACAAACGGCCGTACATTTTTGAGATCGGTGTTGAAATCGACTTAGAGATCGGCGTGACAACGAAGATGGAGAGTAAGGAACTGCGTGTATGGATTCGCGATCTGACGCCGATGGTTCGCGACTGGCGAACCGCGAGGCTGCGTCGAATCGCTCGCGCTTAACCGCGTTCTCTGTTTTCTCCCACCAGACTGATTTTCTTTCCAGCTACCGATTACCGATAATACTACCGCAAGTACGGGCACTATAGTCAATGTTGCTTCATCCGTTTTCGAATCGATCAGTACATTTTCGAAAACAATTGGTTAATCAACGCCGTTGTCATTTTATACATCGCAATAGCAATAGAGCGACGTATAACGTTTCAAACGAAGCGCTTATACTTGAGCTTATATCATTTTATCCGGAAATGTAAATAGATAAGTAAAGAGATAACGATTATCATGGAAACGCCTATAAGAAGAGTATGCGCAGGTCGTTTGTTACCTGGTTCCCGTGCAAAGAGCATCGAAATGAAGGATCGAGCATTCGAATTTGCATTACTGTTCACGATTTATGGATCGGTTTTGTGTTACGAACGTGAGTATCGCGATACTTACCAGCGTCCCGTCGCGACCTTAAAAACGAAAAACGCGACGTATTTGTTTCAGCGGTGACGCCGGAGCACGGAAACGCGAAGATCGGTGAAGCATGCGAAAGAGATCGGAATTGCATTCCGCACGCTTTCTGCCGGGTACAGAGGACTTGCTCGTGCGATCAGTATTACACGCCTGCGGTGGACAATTCGATGTGCATTGCCAGTGAGTAAACACGGTCTTTACACGCGATCGCGTAGGGCGTGGGCGCACGATGTACCGCAGGTTCTTGAACAAATTCGATCGACAGGTGCCGGTTTGGGTTGCGGAAACGATCTCGATTGCAGCACCATGGCGAACGCTGTGTGCAGACAAGGAGTATGCGCCTGCAAAGATGCTTACATTTTGGACATAAATAATTCCTCGAATTGCATCATCAGTGAGTAATCGTTTGGTCACGACGCGCGCGTGTTTAACGTTCGATGTGTTCCAGGGCCGTCGGTGATAGGCGACCGCTGTCAAAGGACCGATGAATGTCAAGACGCGTTCGACCGCGCTTGGTGCATCGACGGTCGTTGCCGATGCGTTTCGTCGCATCATTTCGCGAACAGTACCGGAAAATGCGTTCAATCGCGGCGTAAGAAATGATTCATTCTCTGTTCGCGTCTTTCAATTAAACGAAATGTTACACGCGATTCCTTATTTTCCAGTTTTATACTTCTCGTGCACGAACAGTTACGAGTGCATTGACGATGTCTATGAATGCCGAAACGGCGAATGCGTTTGCAAAGATGGAGAGCTGACTTGCAGCAAAGGTTAAATACCACTCATTTACGCGGCTTGGTGTACACACTGTACGCGCGTGTTATCCATCGATTCGATTCATTTTTATTTCTTATTTTCAGGCTCCACGATAGCCTTCGTTGGAACTCTTGCGGCAATGTTACCAGTGCTACTTCAATGGATTTGAAACGACGATATTACACATATACCGCATCTTCCATCGTCTGTTATTACCGATTATACTTCGAATCGATGCGATACTATTTGTATAAAACATTCTGATGTATTCGATACCGAAATAAAATATATTTGCAGCTATACTTCTATGTCTTAGCCGCGACTTCTATCTTTAACGCTTCCTTCCTCGCCTGCTCACCGATATTATGTTCTTTCCCAAGGAGCAATTTCCGAAATAATTATCGAAACGCGTCTACTTATAATATACAGCTAGAGTATCTTATGTAGCACAAAATTTTTCAAATGCCTACGTCGGATGCGATGGTTACTCATTCAAGACTCCGAATTCCTTCGTCGTTATTCATTGAGATTTATTCCTCGGATATTTATGCGGTACATTACACGTTACAAGCTTCGGTGACACCACTTTCATGCCTTGATAAAAACGTACTTGAGTACATACGATTTTCATTTATTTTCAATTACATATAATGCGATATTTTTAACGAGTAAGCCATTTTGTTTAACATTACGTTATTTTCGATACGTACATTCTGTAAAACTCATTTCTTCCTATACCACTGCACTGTTTGAAACAACTTTATACATATGTATGTATGTGTGCATGTTCAATCTGCCAGTTTGATGACACATATCGTTAGACACAACGTACAATATACATACTGCATGTACACATACATATATATGTGTATGTACAATCGATGAACCGTATAAACTATAAAATCGTTAACTTAATAATACACAGTTGCAAGAAAAACGGAAACTCGCAATTACATGTACATCGAAATCTAAACGACAACGTTCGAATGCTCTTTCGTTGACAACCGGTGCGAGCAAACACTTTTAATACACGTCGAGTGTATCTTCTGATTCTAATATTCTAATTAATCTTTTTTTATCTCTCTCTCTCTCTCTTCCGCTCTTCTTTTCGTTCCTCTTCATACTTATGAAAACATTCATTCAAATATCAATGATAACATTCCGAAGGACCGATGACAATTTAAATACATATGAATACGTATTGGTCATACCTCATTACATACGTACATAACATTTTTCAAAGGTTCCTGCGGCGCGGAGAAATCCGACTGACGCGCGACGTCGACGTGTCCGTCCGACGAAATACATTTACGAATCTTCGAGTCTTTTTTGTAACGCTTCATATACATATAATATACAGACGGGTAGCGTATTTCAAACTATCGTTAATTAAGTATAATTATTATTTCCTAAAAACAAGTTGTACCTAAGTACATACGTACGGTACGTATGGGTACATAGTACATAGATACTGCACGGCACATGCAGTAGATACAATACTTACGTTGTACATACATATAACCGATACGCGTATACTAAAAAATGGACGCTCGTAGCATTGGCTGCAGTTTCTCTCTTTCTTTTTCTCGATAATCCCAGCTCGTTCGAGCGATAGAACGTGCACGATGAAATCAACGACCATAATCGTATTATGCGTTATTGTAATCGTGACGAGCCCTCGGTTGATCGATAGATGGATTTTAGGACTCGTGGTGCTTTCGACCGATATTTTTTGCAAGCGGTGGGGGCGGCATACAAGATTTACTTACCGAAGGGAACGCACCTCGCTGTTGCTTACTGATAATAATAATAATAGTAACTATGCGAGTAACTTTTAATTAGAGCGATTACATTAGATTCTAGCGTTAGTCGTTTGTCTTATAGCAGAAATAGAAATAGATAGTTGGAACATTTGTGCGTAACAAGTAACGACGTATTATCGATGGATCCTATCGCGAACGAATCGTAATTTAAGGATGTATTGGCTATACAGTCAATCCCAAAAGTTTATGCACTTTAGAAACACATTTTTTAAAAAGAAATCAGACGTCGGAAGAACATTGCTAATAATAAACAACAAAAAAAAATTTTCGATTTTGCCGAGATTTTTCCAAGGGATACCCCTTCAAATTCTTCGAAATTTTCGTTTTTTGCTAATAACTCCTAAACTGTTGGAAATACGAGAAAATTGCATAGAACCTTTCTTGTAGAGGACGACGAGATCTACAATTTCTGTATAAAAATTCTTCGCTAGTGTCAATAGTTTACGAGTTATTTGCGAAAAACTGTTTTTTCGTTTTTCGTCAATAACTCGTAAACTATTGACGACAGCGAAAAAGTTTTACATGGAAATTGTAGATCTTGTCGTCCTCTACAAGAAAGGTCCTATACAATTTTCCCGTAGATTCAACGGTTTAGGAGTTATTGAGGAAAAACGAAATTCTTTTCCAAAAGTTCGCTATTTCGACGCTGAGATGGTCGGATTTTGTCAACATCAATAAAATGCCAAATAATCATATGTAACTCATTAAATATCGAAATTAGAAGAAAAGTGCACTATTTTTAATCATAGGAAATGCGTTTTTCTAAGGCACATAAATTTTTGGGATTGACTGTATAGCCAATACATCCTTAAATAAGACTCGGCCGTGTACTGTGCTCGCTGGGACAACGCGAACACGAATGAGAAATAAGCACGAGATGGATAGCATGTCTCGTATGCGTTAAAACATATTAAAACTGAATCACCTCCTTCGCCAGATTAGATAGACTTAAGCGTAACGCGGTAATTATGGTACATCGCTTTCTATAACGTGAATCATGAAAAATGGTGATTTATCCGTCAGCCAGTTTTGCTCGTGTCGAACGTCATGAATCATAATCGACTACTTATGGTATGGTAGATGCTACTAACGATTAAGTGGCACTGTTCGAGAGCGAGTATGTCCTGTCTCTTCGGTTGACTAGATTTTATACAATCCGTAACTCTCTCATACCGTTACCGTGTTACGTATTATCATATCGCGTCGTAGACGGATTTACATAAGTACGCACCGCTTATTTACGCGAAACGTCGCATCTATTTTACTTCGAACCAGCTCGATTTTTTTAAAACCTCGAGGTTACGATACAGAGGAGCGACGCGATGTTTCCGAACAATTCGCGGTTCCGGTGAAATTTCATTCGATACAGGCATCGGCTTCGGAACTGGTATAAGGACTATAGGCCTATAGGCTATCGATAAAACGTACCGTACGCGCTACGCGGACATCGTATAACGTCGATGGACCGTAGCGAGTAACGAGCACCAACTAAAACTTGCGTAATCGTCGAACGTTGCGTTGCAGACGAAAGTATGTATGTATGCGTTATAAAAACTCGATCGAACTTCAGTTCTCGTTGGAATACCTTCGAGCGCGAATCGTCTAACAATGAAATATGCGGCCAAGGGTACGACACGCGAGCAACGACGATAATTACGTAGTTAATTATACGCGGCAACTAGAGGAGGCGAAGTCCTCTTCGAACTCCTCGTTGCTGTCCGAATGCCGAAAACTGATCGTACTTATGGCCTCTACGTCCTATGCCTATTCGTACGCCTACTATCTGTTGTAAGTACCGAACTCGTGTTCCGATCACACGAGACGTAGACGTACATAGACGCCAGGATACGATTATCCTGACGCGTAATATCTTTCACATTTTCGTACTCGACGTATTCACATTGGAACACGACGGCACGTGGCATGCGACCGATACGCTGCTGATCAAAAATCAATACGCTCGATCGTGCAGAAGCGTATTAAACAAAAGTAAATACCTACGTTGGAACTGTTGCAAATCGTGAATCGTAGGTATTGAAAAGAAAGCGTTTCGTCGGTGATACTATTCCTTGATGCGATCAACAGCAGTAACAGCAGCAGGTCCTAAATTTCATGCCACCTTCTTCTTACTCGTCTTCTTGCTGCGAGGAAGGGTAGCGAAGTTCGTTATCTGGAAAAGACAAGAAAAGACCACGTGCTCGAGTAGATTCAGGCAAATCCGTAGAAATGCGCATGACAAAGCTCGACTCTCTTTTGGATCGATCCAAATCGATCGCGCGTTAAGTTTCGTTCTATCTATCATAATTGCTTTATCGAATACGCAGAACATGAGAATATAAGCGAAGTTTCGATGGGAATTTAATTAAGATTGATCGATTCGGGCATTGCACGTTACGCGTACTGTTACGGTGCGTGCGAGCGCGGACCGTGAGCTTGTAAAAAGTCGACGAACATTTTTAGTCTATTTATTGTTAGTAGCGGAGGAGTAATCGTGGCAACGTAACGTGCGTTTAACCATTAGCGTTACGATGTTAATTGTCGAACAGCATGCGTGGTTAGGAGCAGACGTAAAAAGAGAAAATCAACGTTCGTTAAATGTTCGATTAGCGATTTCACCCAAACGCAATCAGTCGGAAAACGTAAAAACCATTTTTTCATACGACCCAAAATGACCGCGTATCGATCCATGTCTGTCCCTTCCGGATTTCCAGTGGATCAACTTTGATAAGTGTTTGGAGAACGAAGAGGATAAGGAGGCGATGACGATGACGCGGCGACCAACATTTCGTTCGCGATCGTTTGTTCGAGACAACCGGTTGGTCCAAAATCCCTCGTACGTGCTATACGCTGTATGTATCATATGTATGTGTATCGTATACAATATGCCAAGTCGTACCCTACGATAGACCGATAGACGATACGCGTCTTTATATTTTCTACCACCGAGGAAGAATTATTAAAGAGTAGCAGCCTAATGGGATTTTGTATCGCACGAAAAAGTATGAATTTTTTTACGTCCTCTAAAATATATTGTCATCGAAATAAAAAATAAAAAGCAAAACAGTCATCGGGGCTAAGCAATTGCCAGATACAAGAAAGGTCCTCTGTAATGTTCTTCTCCAAAAAGAACGAACACCGACTGTGTTTTGAGCCTCATTGGACATTATTTGCTGTCCCAACGATTACATGGCCACTGACACTCTTTAGTAGTATCTCCTCGGTGTTTCTACTAATTCGTGATTTCGATTCTACTATTCGGAGGTAGCGTCGCGTCGTTGTCGCGTGATAGTTTCTAAAAAATATCCGTTTCAAATCTTTCGCCAGATTTCGGAGACGGCGACGTTTCTCTTGTTTGCCCGCTTACAGTTCCGCCCGTCGTTGCATCGAGATTCGAAGACGAAGGCGAAACGCGTTCTTCGCGATCAATTTCGACATCGCCGTCGTTCTCTGTTTTCTGACTGTCGACAGTTTCGACTGGATATCCAGCGTTCGTTTCACCGTCGCGGTCGTCGCGTACAATCGTTTCGTTCGATGCGAGTACATAACGACTGCTCGAACTGCTCGAACGATCATCGTTCCCATTATTCGCTTCGTCGTCGTCGTCGTTTAGTACCGGAATCGAATCCGAATCTGACTCGGACACTTTTGTAGCGACCCACTCGGTTTCGCGCGTTTGCGACTCGGTATGACTCAATCCAGCCCTCTCGTCGTCGACGTCGCGCGATTTGTGAAAAGCACCGTGAAATATATTTTTTGGAATAGCGAAGAATCTCGGAATAGAGAAGCCTTCCTTCGTTCGCTGTCGTTTGGATTTGTCTCCTTGGTTCGTGCCGCGGGAAGTGGAACCGTTGGAACTAGTCCTCGGACGAGCGACAAACGTGTCTTTGGTGGTTGTCGCGTTCGAGAAAGATTTTAAGATACCGGTTTTGATTACTAGAGTAGCTTTGAACGCGTTCTGAGCATCGGCCTCGATCGAGTCGTCGTCTTCGCCGCTTTTGGCCCGCCGTTCGTCTCGCGCGAGGGGCACTTTCGGGGCCGGTTTTTTATTGTACTTGCCAGCTCGTCCGAATCTCTCGACCGCGGAATCATCGATTCTTCGCGAGGTGTTAGTGTCATCCGGGTTGAGGCACACGTCGTGCTCGCTACCTCTCGAAGTTTTCCGCGTGCTCACGATGTCGTCGACGGCCTTGCGGGTATCGCTCAAAAGTTGCTTCAATTCGTCGAACTTATCTTTGCAAAGTTCATCCGCTACCGTTACCGCCGCATCAGTAGCAGTCGTCGGCGTATGAACAGCTGCATCGGATATTTGTATATTTTTCTCATCGTCGAAGGTTTCATCGTTTACTATTACCGCCCGCTGCTGCGTCTGTGTTGCATCGCTACTCGATTCATTCTTTAACTCTGTGCTCGGAACCGTCTCGAGTGCCGGGCGAGATAAACAATCCGACGGGCTGTTATTATTACCGTTCGCGTTGGTTTGCTCTAACTGTGCTACTGATCGACTCGCGTTACTCATATCTTCCAGCGAATCGCGATTACCGGCGGTCAAATGTCCGCTACCGAATTTCGCGTAATCACCAATTTGATTATTTTGCGACAGCAAAAGCAAGATTTCAAGAGCCTGTTCCGGAGTAACGAGATTTAAAATGTTCGGTGTCGGAATCAGGGTCGGAATCGGGCAGGTGATTTGAGAGTGGGAAGGAGGATCGATGCCGATGTCGTTGGAATCCTCTCCCGAATCCTTGAAATATTAAAATAAAGTTGGCGAATAAAATGGAACCCCGATTGGGTAAACGCACGATAGACCGTTTGGTGGCTTCTATACGATATCCACGGTTCTCGGACACGCGATAGTAAATTAGACTAGGTATTTAGATTTAGGTATGCAACGTACCTCTGGCGTTTTCTTGGCGGTCGACCGTGGCTTGGCGCGCGTTCTTGCACCGACGCTGGACGTTCGAACCAACGAGTCTGCTTGAGACGTACGAGTGGACTGCAGCGCTTCCCCGCTGCTATATCCGCTGGATACGTCGTCCGAAGATCTTATATTACTGTAATGAATGTAATACCAGTTTCGAACGAGAACGAGGAAGCAACACCGACACGTTATAGACGAAGATAGAATACACACGTCAAGCTAGCCGTGGACTCCCTGGATTTTGCTTGTCTAACATCAACGTCCACCTCGGAGAAATACATCTCCACTCGGTTGTTGGTCGATTGAGTTCGACGAGGACTGTACCCTCTTCTTCCCGCGTGTTCCCTTCGACGAGGCTCCACTGTAAACCCAATCGCGTGTAAGTCGCCAAATCGTAGATCGAAAATCGTGAGACGTGAATCGTGCGAGGAACTATTTACGAGTCAAGTCCGAACCTTGGTTCGACGAATTCTACCGCGAGTCTACGTTACGATAAACGCGGAGGAAAAGAGGACGGAACGAGGAACGAACGGAACGAATAGTGGAAGAGTTCGGTGAAATCCAGGCAGAGCTAAGATCGGCCAACAACCTTCCATATCCGTCTCGTCGTGCATATGGGCCATGTTTCTATTCTCGTCCTCCTTTTCGCCGGTCAGGTCGCTCAGACTGTAGCTCTTCTTTAAATGCTGCACCAGGCCACCGCCTCCCTGTAAAAAACAAACAAAACGATTCTCCGTTCTTTCAACCTGCCGCGGCTCGCAGAGGGGTCGATGTCGGGGACGTGTGCGTGTGCCGCGTTTCTATCGAACGTCGGCGTTAGCGTGCACCGATCGTCGAGCAACTTAGAACACGATGTGCGGCTACGATGCGAGAAAAAAATACGAGAAAGAAAGAGAAATGAGAGGAGGGGTTGAGAGAGAGAGATAGAAAAAAAAAAGTTAACGAGCTCTTACCGATCGTCAGTGTACCAAGCAGCATTTTGCATTAATGCGTTATCTGCCGTGATCGAAGCGTGCGTACGTTGGAGGAGCCGTCTGTCGAGCGTGCTTAGTTATCTTCCAGTTTTCGATCTTTTCGGTCTCTTGCCCTTGTCGATCGAATTGCTTTTCGCCTTTCGGTCAGCGCATTCCTAAATCGCGTTCCTCCGCGATTATCATTTTACATTTTCTACGGCTACCACGGTTACCGCGGTGTCATTCAACGATTCGTCGGAGAGGATATAAATACGGACAGGGATTTGTAGGCGCGTATAAAATCGAATCGGAAGAACGAATCCATCCGATTCATGCGCGACGCGAAGGAACGCATGTTTGATGAGACGGAGAACAGACCAAGGCCGGAATAACGACTGTTCTCGATCGTATAGAATGTGGTGCATTTATTTATTTAAGACAGGAACAAAAATCCAGTATATAATAGCATTGTAGCGTAAAATCTTTGGGACATTGAAAACGAGTATAAAAGTCTTACTCTCTAGGCTGTAGGCGTACCTACGACTTTCTTAACAATCGCCACGATAAATCATGAACTCGCCCGATCTTCGATGTGAGCACGGCGTAATAACTTACTATTTACTAGTGAGTCTGCAAAACGCGCGTTCTCTTTATTATTCCGCCACTGATTTTCTTCAGTTTACATGTAATCATTCGTGGGACGAGCATATAAAGCGTTTCATGGATATCCTTTCTTTATTAAAAATAATGTCACAGTCTTAATTTCGAATGATCACGCGACAAAATCTCTTCTCGCTTCTTAGAAGAGGTCAGTCGTAAGGCACCGATTTTTCGCATTTATTTTATTATTTATTGTCGTTAGTCGCGATTAATCGCGCGAGGTATAGCGCGGCTACATGTATCGTATGCTTAATTCTAATCGATATATCAAAAAGTATACAAATGGTATCTAAATTCCGTCGAACGGACACACCGTAATATTTTTTTTTACTTTTTTTTTATATTCCAACCCTAGACGCTAATTGAGGCTTTCGCGATTGAGATTCAATGCTACGAAACTCTCTGTATCGGATCCGTACAAGGCACATGTATTACGTATAGAAATAACTAAAAGAGCAATAAATTTCACGCACGAGTAATACGAAAAAAATTTGCGCAATGCTTGGCAATTGCTTTCATCTCCGTATTTCGCATCTTTCTCCTCGTCATCGTCACGGTTAAAATAGATCAAACTTGAAATTCTTTCGACGATCGATACGGTAGAGAAAATGGATATCGATCCATCGGATGATCCTATTTTTTTAACGCATAGGTACGATCTATGATCACAGGTACTATCCATTCTCCTCGTCGAGGATAGTAATCGCGCATAGGTAGATGTATAAGCGTAACGCGACACGTTCATGCTAACCAGTAACTTTTATTCCGTTCAATGGTGACGGCGCTCGTTTCTTAAATCTCGAAATCGGTGTCTCTGTTCTTAGATAGTTCAAAATTAGTATTGGACCGGTTGGATATCGAGATCGTCGTCGCTGTATCTGTGGACGTTGTTGCGCGTGTGGGATCTGAGCCGTCTCCACCGACCCCGCTGTTGCTGATTACGAAATTCGCTTCGCTTTTTGCCCTTACTCGGCGTACGCGGCACTTTGAACACGTGATGTTGCTGATGTTGTTGTTCTTCTTCTTGCTGTTGGTGCTGTTGTCGCTGCCGAACCGGTTTCGCTTCGAAGAACTCGTCGTCGCCGTCATCGCTCGTGTTGTTCGGATCCGCGTCCACATCCGCGTTGTCAAGCATGCTGGGCACCGCTTCGACAGGGATGAATTCCTCGGAACTAGTGCTCGGATAAAGGTGGTCTCGAATCAGGTCGTTTATCAGATCCGTCTCGTCCTTGGTCGGTCTCGGTGTCGGAGGTCTGACCGGCCTAGAAACCGGCGAGGCCGATTGGTTGCTTGATGGTAGTTCCGTCGACACCATTTGATCTGTTTTCAGCAATTGCTGATCCCGCGTTCCATGATTCGATTCGATTCATTTTCGTTACGCGTGCGTGCCGGGTGAAGGTCGTGGGTGGATACGTTCCGCGTCACAGGTCCGGAACACGCGACACGGTGGACACGTGGTAGAACGCGATACGAATATATATGAACGCGTGTACACATATTTTTGTCCCCCGGACAAGCGACCGAGTAATTGTTATCGAATGGACGGCGATGATCGACAGTGGTTAGAAGATGTCGTGTAGCCATGAGCCGGTGATCGATGTCGGTGTTTGTATATTAGAGGCGGTAACCGCGTGCAGGATAGGCGTGCAGGGCAACGTAAACATAAAATCAAGATAAAGATATTAAACGATTAGCGAGGGTGAAAAAGAAGCTCCTGGAAGCGAGTCAATGTTTTGATCGTTCGCCGCTCGACTAATAATGGATATCGTAATTAGGAATCGGGAAGAGAGTTCGCGAACGAAGACTTACCTTGATAGCGGTTTGCATAAGGACCGTGGTAGCATAGTTGACACCCTTCGAGCCGAGGTGTAACACCGCCGTGTAGCCCTGCTCTGTTGCGCGGGCCAGAGCATCGTCGATCTCGGCCTCGCGTCGAATTAGAGCCGGATGAACGAATCGTCGGTAAAGAATACTCGAGCCCTTGGTAGCTGGACTCAGAAGCCAGATCACGAGGATAGTCTTGATCTCGTAGTAAAATGGAAACCTGAATTAGAGAACGAACGGATGATGAAGAGTTTGCGCGTACGCGAAACCACCCGACCTCCAACAACTTAGAAATTCATCGATGATGCGGTACAACAATTTTTGTATTTTCTTCTTCTCATGCGATTTTCGACCATGCGATTTTCGACCATACGAGAGCGAAGAGTAGAAAATAGTAGGGGAAAGAGGAAGACAATGGAAAAGAAAGGAAAGGAAGGCGCGAGAGTCATTATTTCTGTTCAGAAATATGTATACGACGCAAGAATGTTCCATTTTGGTTGTAACCCGAGTATGAAGCATCGAGGGAGCGACCTGTCGCGGTGGGATGAAACACCAGAAACGGAAACGGAGAAGGAGAACGGGGCGAAAGATGCCGGGCGGGAGAATCTCTACAAGTGCGTGTAAGCCAATATCCATCTCGGCCGAAATTAGACTTTCGGAATTCCCGGTGGCGAGTCTCGAACCATGTGGTTCACCTCAGTTTATTAGCCCCGTCTTGTTCGAATTTTACACCATTCCGGCAATATGTAGACTGTAAATCGTCGAGTCGACGACACCCAACGGCGATCCAAACGCTATCGAACATCGAACTCTCTCCAATTTCTCCCATACTACATATTAAATACCGCGTGTCTCTGTCGTAATCGTTCGTACTTGAAAGTGTTATAATTCTTAAGAACGAACATGTCATGCGTTGCTCACCAAAAGCTAAAGAAGACATCGGTGAAAGTTTCTGCGCACGTGAATAACGCAAACACGATCCAATACATCATCCATTTTACCTGGAAACAAAACAGGATCGTTAGGAAGAAAACGAATAGATGGTATATTTGGTCTCGGAACGAACTTTGACCGATGCACGTACGCCAATCTATGTATGCAATGAAATACCAACTAATTAAGAGACAAGCACGTATTTGTGTAGTACACATTATTCGTTTCCGAGACTCTTGGGACGCCGACAAGCGTATAATTTGTAACACTGCGTACGCGTGCAAGTGTAAAGCGATCGATCGCGCGACAAAGTTATTTTTTGAAAAACAATAGCGCGATTTTCACTTTGCCATTAAACTAGGCGAGTTCAAAGTTCAAAATTCGGACTGTTTGGAGTTTATGGGATCTATAGATTGTAGATTGTAGACTCTAGGCGATGATGACGCGTAGGTTTTCTCAAGATTAATTTTGGAAATACAAGGGTCATCGCGATTCGGTCGTACTATCTAAGAAATTCGAATTTTCCTCGAAATCGTCTCTTGAGCTCCACGTTTCCCGAAGCACGTCTTTATGCGTATATGTCAGTTCGAAACCAGGCTGTCAAAAATGTTTGTAGTTCTCTACGCGGTACTTACGTATTCTTTTACATTCTTGGTCCTTACTGCTTTGTACGAAGCATACGCCGGGTACAAATTGCCGAATACCAATCTGAAAAGCGGATACAGTAGAACGTAAGTGAACGATCGGGGCAGTATGATTACTAGGAGCGCGGATATTATTCGCAAGTAGCCCAGGCTCATTTTCTTTGGTAATCGATCCGCGATAAATCGTACGACACCGAGGAAGCTCGTCGTCAAAATTCGAGAGACGTCCGATTTATGGACCATCCAGAGAAACGAATTTGCATCGAGATTATCCGCTCGAGAATCGTTTCCTTTTGCTTCCATTCCAAAGATAGGACTTTTCTCTCTCTTTCTCTTTCTCTCCGTTCCCCGTTATTTCGCTTGATCCGATCGAACTGAAAAACCGGAAGTCGTTTGAAACTCGCATCGATCTTCCACCTCTGTACTCACTCTCTCTCTCTCTCTCTCTCTCTCTCATCTCACTTCCTACCCTTCCTTCCTCGCTTCCCAAATCGTGAAATTCATTTTCCGCGCAAGCAAACAAGAAGCTTGCGCGGAAGTCTGGAAGAGAAATTGTCCGATTTGGTAAACGGTTTGTATTGATCGAAAGCAAGAAGGAGAAAAGGAAATAGAAGAGAGGTACAGATACAAAAACGATATTCCAACTCGTACTCTTTTCGTATACACACACGGTCCGTACAAGCGCGACGTCTTTATCTGTGTACGAAGTATCGTGTTAATAGGGCGTCCACGAGCATCGTGGTTCCTTCACGAACAATGGTGGTCCCACCGTCGTTGCAAGAATAACGTTTGATGATAAACGTAACTTGCTACAATCGTTACTATGCCCGTTAATTTTTAGCAACTAAGTAAACGCGCACGTGACACAAAGCGCGCAAAGAATAGCTCCGTGTCGTTGTTCTTCATCGACTGCTCTTCACTCTCCACTCCTTTGTACAGCACTCTGCACTTGTTGCATCCAAAGTGTTCCCGAGCCTCCAGCGCGACCCGTTCTCGAATCTACACCGTCCGAAATCCGAATCGACCTCTACTACGACGACATTGGATCGTCGATGACGGTACGCTCGATCAGGAATGAGACTCGTGTTCTCGGTAGACACAACTGCTCGTAACTCGTCGTTGCACTCGCGGGTGCCTCCACTTAGACGACTAAATGCGTAATCGCGTACTGGCAACAACTGGGATCCAAGTCCGAGCGTCCAAGCGTCGAATCGTCGACCTCGCAGCAGGCTGCGCTGCTGCACGGTTTCCTACCGCCTCGTATACGCACTCTATTTCGGCACCTTAAGCCGCTGTCGGGCTCTCTCGTGAAATAGCCGATGATCCGTTCCTTTTGACGATTCTTCGAAACGTTGTCTAGCCACCGACGCGATTTCGTTTGCTCGTTGTGAGTCGAAAAGAACGGAAACGATAGACGCTCGAGTCCATGATCCATGAACAACGCGACGATCCTTTGTCCTCTAAATGATTCGATTGCGAAATGGTAACGGGAGAAGACGAGAGCTCAGGATCCGTAACTATGCACAGAGCTATGAATCGGCTAGACTCTTTACTATTGCTGCTAGGAACGTGCTTCTTCGCGAGGAAGAATCACGCGAAACTGTGGTCGATCGCGGTTCGTATGGTAATTCGATGATCATCGCCAATGTCGGGACTCGATTGCGTAATAGGACATCCTTTGTGCGCAATTCGTGAGTATAACGTATGGCGCATAGTGCACGCGTTCAACTATGATTACCGTGTTAACGAGCGGTCGTATTGTTCCTCCTTCGTGCTCTCTCTTGGTTCGCGTGATCCGAATTTTTGGAACAAGGAGGAAGATCGCCTCTCGAGTCAAACACATACATTTATCTATGAATGCAAGTGTTCGAATTCCTTTTAAACGCCTTTTACGCATTGTACTTCAACTCACAAACGTCAGCGTTATCGGACGCTTTGTTCGTATTTGTAAGACAGATAATCGTTTGTTAAAAAGGGGATAGGAAATCTAAAAATGAAACAAGCTCTTTTGTACGTCGCTTCATCGATTTATTGCTTTTCCCTTGCCACCTTCTTGCCACTTAAGTTTCTTCGAACGCATCTTGCCAATTAAGCGTAATATCATCAATTTGCCACCATTTACAATATTTGTTCATACAATGTTTCAAATAATCTCAAATCGAAATACGTGAATTCTTCAATCCGGAATGAATCAGTCGATGAGAGATTAACGATTAATAATCATTGAAAATGTACGAGTCGCTCGTCCGCTCTTCGCTACCAGTCGGTGAATGACCGAACCGGAATCATTCCATTCATACATCCAAATATAAATCAATGTTCCGAACAACGATATCTATGACTATGCGCAATGTTGTTGATCGGAATCGCGTAAGAAACAAAGTACTCTGCTTATGTAAGTATGTACTTCCGTATTTAAACAGCGAATGTGTATTTTGCTTGCATAAGTAGGTACTCATTTTCATCGATACATTTTGTCTACGTAGCGTAATCGCATGATAGAATAAAGTTGTTTATCATCATCGTGATCAAATGTCGTGTTGTTTCGTATCCGTATTTTCTATTCTTATGATCGATCTTATGATTCGATTCAGGGAGACAACGATGACCGCCGACAAGTGATTGCTCGATAAGGCGAGATAAGAAAAGCTGTATTCGTGAAAGGATTTCAGCCCGTCCTCGTTACAAGTTTCGAGGGACGGGGTAAGAATACCACCGAGGCGACGTTCACGATGGTTACCCATTTAAAAACGGGTAAATGAGCGTTGCAGGAATATCGACGAACCTCCGTGAGAGGAACAGATAACGCACGTGCCGGACCTTTCGGGGCCAAAGGGCAGGTCATAACGAAATTTTCGAGATTCGAGATGGAGAGATTCGCACGACTCTCGGTAGAGAGTCCGATCGACGCTTATCGAAGCTTATCGCCGGATCTGATTTTCGATCGATCAAACCGAAACTGGTTTTGGTTCTAATTCTTCGTATCGCCTTTCATCTAACGCATACACACAAACCCACGTTCACTGTGCCTATACACACTTTCGGTTCTGTCCGATTTTGTAGTTATCGCGTCGAAGTCGTATAACCGCAAGAAGTCCAGGATAATCGTTTGAAGACGCGTAGAGCCCGTTGATTGATCGATCGAGGAATCTTGCAATCTTCTCCGACGCCTAGGTGCGATCGTAGCTCGAATCGTAGGCGATGACAACGTAGGAAAAAATGAAAGACTCGTGAAAAAGGACTATAATTTGTGATTCGACCGATCGATCACAGACACGAACGACATGTGAGATTCGAATATCGTGAATCGCAGCTTCTTTTCGAATGTCGGTGTACGCACGTCTCGACGTTACGAGCTGCGACTGGAAGCTGGTCGCTTCTGCGTTTCGACTTATATTTAAACTTTAAGCAACGGCGCGGGGAGAAGTGGTCGCCGAGTGCAACTACCTACGTATTTGCTATGCGACAAAGAGAGGAAGACGCGTCCCGCGTATATCTATAGCCGCACGAATATTCCATATTCATGTTCGTATTCAGAAAAAACAACGACGCGAACGACACGATTTCTGAAGAAAATACTGGAGGCATCTAAAGATAACGAAGATAGAATTAGGATGTCGTTGTTGCGCGTATACCACCCACCAGCATAACCACCCTCCTGTTGCCAACCAGACATCGATCCAACGACCGACCGCGTTCTTTCGTTTACAGAGAAACCCTCTTTCTGACTATACTCGTTTTCTTTCAGCTGTGCATCCTGAATCTCCTACTTTCAAACAGACAGACAGACAAGCAAGCATGCGGGCAGACAAGCCTTCAAACGACACGGAATAGAAGTATCGAAGGTATAATTAAGTATCCTGGCACGCTTCTAACTCGTTTCGAAATATAATTTTATCAACGATCGCCGATATTTTTGTCTCGTGGAAAAAATTGATGAAAATGAGGACAGAACAAACTATTCTATCGGCTCGGAACATCATCGTGGAAAAAATTGATGAAAATGAGGACAGAACAAACTATTCTATCGGCTCGGAACAGCTGATGTACAATTGAACGAAATGTAATTGTTGAATGAGATAAACGTGTCGATTTATTCGTCTTTCTACTCGCGATAAGATTGTGTTTTCACGTATAATATGGACATAGTATATTACGAATGTCTAGCGTATAATAGCGTACAGCGGTAGATATGCTCGACCAGCTGATCGGAAACATTGCGCAAATGAGGAAAGGTCGCAGAGAAAACAGTGCCGAATCAGATTTGACGTTCTCCACGATTCTTTGTCGCCGATGACTAATCACAAACGAGTGCGCTTTGTCCTCGTTCGAACGCGTCTGGCTATCTTTGAACGTACGACCATACGTATACGTATAGGTGTATGCCATCTATAGAAAACGAGTACGAAGAACAAAGATCGAGAGCAACGGTAGCAATCCAGAGCGTGGAACGTATCCAACGTGCACGAGTTCTATTTTGGCGAATACGAACAACGTATACATGCATAAGATTCGCATCTAGTACCGTCGTCAACTCGGATAGACGGTAAATTTTGAACGATGCGACGATTGCATTGAAATTATGCACTTTCACTGAAATTCAACGTACGATTCTTTCTTTCTCTGGAATCCCGTTCAGTCCCGCGAACGTCCGTGACACTTCGTCAGGCGATATTTTTTCTTCAAAACAGGATTAAAAGCAGATCAAGTTGATCAGCAATCACAAATCGCTACGCTACGCGTTCTCATTAAATTAAATTCGTATTCGTACGTGACACGTACATAAGTCCATATTCGTCGATCGCCGATACCCAGTATGGAAATGCTCGGTCACGATGATCTCTTCTTACCTTTGCGGATTAAGGTCTTCGAAACGTCTCGATGTATCAGGTTGGATCGGCTTTGCCGATGTATCGAAGTTGTGATCGCACTTTGTTGGCCAACAATTTTCATAGGCGATCGCGACCGGTTAGTCCTCGCAATTTGGAAAAAGCGGCGATCTTTTTCCGGACTGCTCCGGATCTTGCTACGACAACGCGATGACATAATTTCTTTGCGTCGAAACGCGTTCACGTATGCTCGCGTCAATTTTCACTGGGAACACTGCACCTCCGATCAGATTCGTATTACGCCACGACCGTGTCGAGCAGCAGCTGCAGCAGTCGTCGTCGACGCTCGTTGCTTTTTGCATTCGAAAGATCAACCCACGTTTTTTATACGGTTTCGTAGTCCTCTCGATCACAGTCCATGGACAACCGAATTGTCAACAGCAGCAGGAGAGAGCAGGAAAGAGAGAGAGAGAGAGAACGAGAGAGAGAGAGAGAGAAAAGTTCGCGTATACGTACGATGTTAAATAAATAGAATAAATAAAATCGAAGAAAACTTTGGTCGGCCTGGGCTTTGACAACGACGCGACGAATGGCGAGAGAATCCAACAGCAACCGAGCGAGCAAGCGACTGTTCGTTGGTGCTGCGATTCCTCGACGTTATCAATTAACGAGAATTTCAATACTCACATGACGAGTCGCGAGACGATCGAAGATATCATATTAACTGTTCCGAGTAATAAACGGAGCGCGCGCGATCGGAAGAAACGAACGATTAATGCGGACGGCCGATTCTACTACCGCTGTTCATAGATCGACCATGTTGGACTGGCAGGCAGCTGGTTGCTGCTGCGCCCTGCGCCTGTGAGTTCACGTCGTGTTTTCGTCACGTGACGAACAGGGCTGTGCTAATGTCGGGAACCGGGTGTCTTCAGTATTTGTTCCAGGGATTTTTCGTTTCATCGACGAGAAAGACAAAAGTTGACACAAATTTTGTATTCTTAAATTCGAGTAGACCAATTTCAAAAGACAACGTACGAAGATCCGGTAACCAACATCCAATTAGTCCGTACGCGATTTTATGAATAGGTCTGGTTAGAGAGCGAGATGAAGCCGCAAATTCAACAAGGCGGTCTAGACAGGAATACTCTTGCGTATGCGCAAGCATGCAGGTAAACCATCCCGACCGCCACATTGAATTCCTCTCCATTTGAATTCGCTAAGGAATACAGACGTCCACGTCAGACAGTCAGGCAGCGATGCAAGAGATAGAATGTTGAACAACGTCGAACCTGCGGACACGCTACGCCGTGTCGCATGGTATCGCAGGCCGTGTCACAATGTTTCGCATTCCGATCGTCCTGAACGAATTTGGAACAGACAACAGAAAAGAAAAGAGAAACAAGGAAGGAATTGAAGTATGAAATAACAATGAAAGAGGAAAGAAACGGGAATATGAAAGAAGAAAGAGAAACGAAGGAAGCAGAAATCATGAGAGAGGAAGAGAAGTAGCGGGTGTATAAGCAGAAGAGAGATATCAGCATCAGCGTTGCGGTGCGGTGGCGCGGTTGCCTCGAGTCTCGAGGGACACCAGGGTGGGGTTGATGGGGGCCGTCGCGGCGAAGGAGGGAAACGGGGGGACTACCGCGGGACGGAGTCGTGCCTCCCTGCCGTCTGGCCGCAGTGCGCGCTACGCGATATCCGCGATGTCAGTTGGTCGGTTTTGTGTTCGTTAGTCTCACGTTCGTTCCGAATTTAAGTGTTTGTTTTATATCGCGTTGTCACCGTGTTACCTTCGGTCGAACGGTGTGTGCTCGACACGCTGTGTGCTCGAGGCGTGCAACGAAAAGTTTAAAGTGTCTCTCGGTCTGCTGTCTTCGACGAATCCAGAATGACCGAAAATCCTAACCGCGCAGTTACTACTTTCTGTTTAACGATGACGACCGCGCATTTGGCGCGGACTGGCCGGTGTGCAACGTAGGAAAAGAAGAAAGCGAAACGTATCGTGGACTTTTCGATGCTTCGTTTCCAAACGTACGTACGTACGTAGGGAGGAAGGAAGGAATGGCAGGTGCTGCTACTGTTATTGTTGCTGTTGCTGCCATTATCGTTATCATCGATGCTGTCGTTACTGCTGCTGTTTCTGTTGCATCCCGATCGCTTAAAGGTAAGATACGCGAGAAACGAGAAACGATAAATGAAGGTGAACGAAAAAGATCGTGCGCACCTCATGGCACTGTTGTTGTTTGTTAGTCCGTCGTGATCACGAGGCGAAGCAGAGGTCAGATAGCGACCGTGTGCTTTTGTGTTTTATGGAAAATAACAAAGTGATGATCAGTGTTTCATTATTCTCTTCCACGGTTTAGTGCAACACGGAAGATTTTCTTTTTTGGGGGAGAAGCACGCTCAACGGAGGATCCAAACAGAGGAAAAGAGAACGGAGTAGCCCACGGGGGCGAGAGAAGAAGGCGAATATCGTGATACGTTCATAAAAATAGTGATCGAGAAAAAGGCAGTGAAGACGAAGAAGAGCAAGTGAGGTGAACGCGTAGAATAGAGCGAGGAAGAGTGATCGAGAGACTCGGTTGGCGGAATCGAATTCGCGGATTCGACACACCGCGGTTGTTGATTCGTAATATGGCGTATAAGTTTCGCGAAGAGATCGTAGGAAAGAGATTTCTCTCGGTGAGTGGTTTCGGCAAGTTAAAGTCTAATAAAATCAGTGAGTGGGGTTGGCGTGCAGGTGTGATTCGTGCTGCCAGTCACCGAGATAACAGCTGTCACGATCTTCAGGTGAGTACCAAATGCACTTTCGTACCTACGTATAATCGTCTCCTTAAAACTCGACGTTTGCTCTATATATACACATAAATACGAATAGCGTACATATTTCACACATATAAAACAGAAGTATGAGAATATGATTTGGATGCGATCGACATCGGCAACTGCATCGATTCGTTCATTCACGCGCGTACATCGCGTCGTCATCCGTTATTGCCGAGAGAGAAGCTGTATTCGTTGATCTTTGATCACTTTCACCCGGATCGTTACGACCCAGATGCTCGTGTTTCTATGTATAGCGGTATAACTGTACGTATAACGTAAACGCGTTTCTATTTCTAATTCTATAACGGTATGTACTGTACAATAAAGCCGCGTGGATTGAGCCGATGACGGCTAGGCGATGCACCGGTCTGAAAAAAATTCTATCATCTAACTAAACTCTAAGCGCGTGGTCCATATCGTACAGCCGCTAGTCGTTGTTAAGGATGTATTGGCTATACAATCAATCCCAAAAGTTTATGCACTTTAGCAACGCATTTTTTAAAAAGAAATCAGACGTCGGAAGAACATTGCTAATAATAAACAACAAAAAAAAAATTTTCGATTTTTCCGAGATTTTTCCAAGGGGATACCCCTTCAATTTCATCCAAATTTTCGTTTTTGGCCAATAACTCCCAAACCGTTGAATCTACGGGAAAATGGTATAGGACCTTTCTTGTAGAGGACGACGAGATCTACAATTTCCATGTAAAAATTTTTCGCTAACGTCAATAGTTTACGAGTTATTGACGAAAAACGAAAAAACAGTTTTTCGCAAATTACTCGTAAACTATTGGCG